CGGCTGTGAGCCAGGAAAAGTTTATTTAAGAAGATGGGGCAGCTAAGCTTAGTATTGCCCCTGGGTATTTTGCTGTTAAATATTGCGTTTCAAAAATCTGTTTATATCAACTCATTAAAAAATTAATTTGCCAGCATAAGAAAACATGTCTGAGAGAGGTGGGGGATGTATTTGTGTGGTGTTAATTGGAAAAAGTGCCATGTTCACTCTCGGGCCATAGCAATAGGTCCCTGTCCTTTGCTCTTCTCACCAGTCCTGTAACCAAAGAGCTTCCTTGTGTGAGTTGGTGGAAGAAGGCACAGCCATCCTTCGTGGGGAGGAAGGTGGCAGTCAACTAAGTTTTCTTGTTGAGTTAACTTGCTCTAGGATATAAACAGGAAATTGGGTTTAATACTTCCGGAAAATGTCAGTTGTAACACTCCTCCCTCCTGCTTGTTGAGATCTTACTCTCTAAAATCAAATGCAATTTCTAAAATCATGACTTTTCTTTTTCAAGATCCATTAGAGATGTTGGAGGGAAAATAGGAAAACACTGTGCATTGTCATCAAACAACTCGGCCCTCCCCGTGGATCTGAAGGAGAGAAATATGATTTTTCCCCTAACTGCGGGTTGCTTTGGTTTTCAGCAACATTAGAAGTGGCTTTGAATATTTAATCAGAGCAGTTGGCACAGCATTGAACACCCAGTGGGTGCTAAATAAATAATTCTCGATTGTTTGCAGAAGTGGGGGCAAATGAATGATGTAGATGAATGTGCCAATATTGTTCCTATTCTTGTTGTAATACCCCTCCCCACAACCCCTGTGTTTACCACTTCCCAAACATCAAATTATCATGATTTCCAAACACTCCAAAAGAAGTAGGGGAAAGTTTCTGTTCACAATGGGGAAAATGGTGTATAAAACCATCAACTCGTCTTGTTGCTGACTTTTCCTGGGAAGACATAAACAGATGTTTATTTACCCCACATGATGACAGAACAAAGAAATGACTCCACCCAAATCTAGCTTGGAATCAGTGAGTTTATTTGGGTTACCTACAGTAGCATATTACTTACAGGAATATGGGTCACTCAAAAGCAGCCCCAATATGAAAAGCCCACCTGGTATACTTGGTGGCTGCATGCCGGGAGCTTCCTGCACATCTTTACAGGCAGCTCCTCCGGAGAGTCTCCTTCCCTTGTCAAGAAGTTGCTTACTGGGGACCAGACTGTGAGTCTTGTGACAACTGAGCTTGTGGAGGCTTGACAAGCCCCAGGAACACCCCACGAGGGAGTGTTTGAACTAGGAGGAAATACCAATACAACATCTCTCATTTCCTACTGTTGTAATTTAAAAAGAGCAACCCTTGAGAGGAATATGTCATGCAACAGAGCTTGGGTGAAGGGGATTATTGGGAGAAAGTGAATGGGGACGGGGGGGGGGGAGGAGAAAGGGGAAACCAGTCTCTGGATACAGGAATAGCAGAAGAGAGGTGGGGGGAGAGAGGAGAGACAGAAAGACAGGCAGAGAAGCAGGCTGTGGTGGGGTGGGGGGATGGGTGGTGGGCAGGGCCCTTTTAAAAGGGAAAGCAGTGAATGTGCACAGGTGGTGCTCTTAGTGGTTGCAGATAAGGGTGTATCTTGTCAGAAGCCCAAGGACAGGCCAATATGGATGCCTGACTACGAACATCTACATCTACTGAACAAATGCCTTAGTCTCTCTTCCCATTTCTGTGATGAAATATGCTGACAAAAGGGTTTATTCTGAGTCATATCTCAAGAGTGTAATCCTTCAGGGTGGCAAGAGTCAAGTGGTAGGGTCTTGAAGTAGCTTGGTCACATCAAATTCACACCACAGAGGGAAGCCGAGATCAACACATGCTGCTGCTCAGCTCCCTTTCTCCACCTGTACCTTTTAAAATCCCAGCTAGGGAATGGTGCCACCCAGAGTGGACAAGTCTTTCCACCATCTCAAGGAACACAATCAAGATAATCCCCACAGGCATGCCCAGAGGCCAGTCTCCTAGCTGGTTCTAGTTTCTGTTAAGTGTACAATTAATACTAACCATCCCAAACTTGCACCTGATGACTACTTCTCCCCTTTTCACCACATCGGCACAATCATTTAACACAGCCTAAATATGTAGCAACTAATGGAAGTATCAAATAAACTCCAATTTCCTTCCTCTTATGTTAAAAAGCCCAGGTGGGTTTTCTTTGTTGTTGTTGTTTTGTTTGTTTTTAATGGACACAGAACTCTCAATCCTTCTCTTTTGTTGTAGCATCCATCAAGCAGGAACTAACAGAAGGGTACATGGGTTTGCCAGGGCCCTGTGTGTCTCTCACACATTTGTTTTTGTTAAAGGATGCTCCTCTGTCAGCCCTTGTACCAGGAGAAAAACTTCAGTTCCCACCTGATGAGTGAAGCACTCGTAGATAAAGTGTCACTCCCCTGCAAAAAAGAGACTTGGTTATGCATTCAGAACTCCATAGTCATCTGTTTTTATTGTTGCTTAATGCCTTTTAGATCAGCATAAGCCTTGCAAGAAATCAACACTGGAGCTGCATAATTAGAACGCCTTTCATGGACATAAACGGTAATCCCACTGGAGAGCAGATTAAGAATTCACAAGCATGAATTTCTGGCACCAGGTACCCACAGTTCCCTTTCTTTTTGAATAATTCATTATTTAAAAACTTCGATGCATGTTCTATGCAACCCCATATATCACATCCAGGGTCTTGGAGAGTAAGAGCCTCATTCCCCATCTGTCCCAACTGTAAACCTATTGGAGGCTCATTGCTGTGGCCAGGTGTCATGGAATAGCAATGACCACCAATGTCAGTTTCAGTTAGTCACTTTAGGGGCCAATTTAGGGAGTTTCAAAAGGACCTTCTACAGGATATTAGCAAAGCACAGGTCTAACTTTCATAAGGAAAAGAAGAGGAGGGGCTGGGAAGATGGTTCAGTGGGTACAGTACTTGGCATAGAAGCTTGGGGACCCGAATTCAAATTCCCAGAACCCATGTAAAGCTGTGTGGTAGTGCACATCTATAATCCCAGCATAGTTAGGAGAAGGCTCCCTTTCCTGTAGAGACCCTGCCTTTGGTAGGTGGAGCTGCTCTCTGCTGATGTCTGTCTGCAATGGTCTTAACTGGTATACTCTGAAGTCTAAGGCTGTCAGAACAGCCAGGGAGCTGCTGACAAAGGGAACTGATGTTGGAGCAGAGGAGCCTCGTCCAAATTCATGTGCCTCTTAGGACATCCCCACAAACTCATCTCCCAACATCAGTGGTTGCTCCAACCCTTGACTTCTCATCCACCTTCCCTGTTTCTGGCCTTCCATCCTGACTCCATTCACTGAGAAGTTGGAGCTGACAACCTCAAGACTCCTTCCTGTTCAGCCCTCTTGACCAAGATTCTTAAGACCTTTTATTTGGCCACGCTGTAATTGTGTCCTGTGACCTGCCACTGCTGCACTCAGTAGAGGGGGTGGAGTCACCCACAGGCCAGGTGAACTCATGAGCCCTGGTGCTGTCTGTGGGAGCAGGTTTCCACAACAACCAGGAAACTCTAGGTAAACTTCCCCTGGCTAGTTTTGGAACTTCTGGACAGTTAGTTCTGGTAGCTTCTACCAGCCCTTCAGTATGTTGTGGTACTGGAAGAGAAGTTTTGATTATTCTCAGACCTGCAGAACCTTCTGGGCAGGAACTCAAGGTACCAGAAGCAGACTTTGAGGAGACACATGGTTAGACCTTCAGAGCCCAAACCAGGGATGCAGATTCCCTCTGTTATTGAGGTCTTTGATAAATTTAAATTATGTTATTACTGATTTTTTCCCTTGGCTGTGTTTATTCCAGTGCTTCTAAAATCCAGGATAGCATTCTATGCCTCTCTGGAGAGTTTCCAGTATGAATAAAGCCTGCCACCACTTGGGTTTTATGCTTTTATTGATGTCTTTAGGAAAACCAGAGTCACAACTGAAATACAGTAGACACCATTTTTGTGACCTTGGGCTGGTATTTAGTCTGTGTGTACTGTATTCACACTCAGATGCAAACAATGGAAGAAATGATCTCATCTTTCCCATCTTCTCCCAAGCTTCAATTCTCAGCTTCAACATTTAATCTCTTGCCCCCAGTAACAGGAGTCTAAAACCCCATCCTGTGGGACTGGAGAGTTAGCTCAGCAATTAAGAGTATTGGCTGCTCTTCCAAAGGAACTGGGTTCAAATCCCAGCACACAAACACATGCAACTCAACACTATTTGCAACTCCAAGATCTGACACTCTCACAGAGACATACTTGGAGGCAAAACACAAATGCATATAAAAGTAAATAAATCAAAAAATAAAGGAAGAACTGGACTTGAAAACATGAAATAAAATCCCATCATCCAGGTCCTAGCCACTGAATATAATTTGCAGAGGCCCTGTACACAGCAGGAAGAAGCAAGATGTTAGCTGACACTGACTTCTGCTTCTGGGAAAGTTACCAAGGCCTTCCTTAAGCCTTCCCTGGTTTGCATTATGGGGTGAGTTAAAGTTTTCACAAGGTCATCCTTGTAGAAAGCCAGACAGAAGTCCCCAGCAAGAAGAGTTCTGTGTCTTGCCATCTGCTTTGTCTCGCATGTGCCCTTGACTAACGGCTCCCAAGACCAGATGAATAGAAATGGCACCAACACAGGAAATGAAAATAGCGAGGCACAATCCTTGGGTCTGTATTCTAAGCAGCCTGACATTCAGAATCTAATAACTTTTTGCATAAAGTGAACCTTCATAAGCATGCTACTATTAGGTTCTGCTGTGGAGAGAGAACTGTGCAAAATAATTTGATCAGAAACTGTAACTGTCTCCTAAGGGTCATGTGCACCATGGTTTTGGCGCATTCACCAACTCTGGCACAGGCAGCTCTTTTCTCAGCGTGTGGCTCACCTGATCCTTATAACCTGGGGAGGGGCAGGTGGGGAGGGCAGTTCTATCCCAGCGCTCTTCCTGGGGGAAACTGAGGCTCAGGATGTGAGAAGACTTCCATGGTTGACTCTGGATGGGAGCCCCTGCCTGAGTCACTGTCCTTCCAGGTACAGTGTCTCTCCACTCCCACCTCAGCTGTCACTTCTGGGAGCCTCTTTTTCCCTGAATGTGCTCTTATCTTTTGCAGGGCTGAGGCTACTCTTTGTGCCAGTAGGCAGTCTGTACTTGTTCCTTTCAGGCCTTTGGCAAGTAAAAGCAGACATTCTAAAAGAGCAGCAATTATCCCTCCTGGTTCCTTTGTTGGGAGCTCTGTAAATAATTTATTTGGATTTGAGGGTCTAGAGAGAGGGAAACACATACCGAACCTCTTGGCAACCAGGTGAATTCATTCTGGAACTTAAAGGCAAGCAGAAAACAAGTGAGACAGAAACGTGTCTCTTTGAAATCAGAGAAGACAGCTGGACCTCAGAGCCCGGGCGGGAGGCTGGAGTTGGCCAGGCTGCAGCAGAGGAAGTTTTCTCGTGGCATTTAAAGGTCACCCAAGGGGTTTCCACAACTCTATCGTGAGCCCCCATAGCAAGGATTTTTGGATCTGTGAAGTTGGAAAACACAGGCCTGCACTGGAGCTGGTCCCAAACCCCTCCTGCTGCACTCAATACCTGCATCAAACAAAGAAAATTGTGTTTGCCAGGCAGGCTCGCTGAAGTCACAAGATTCCCAGTATCACGCAGTGCTCCGGAATGCCTGTGAAACCTCCCGAGGAGGGGAAGATCGTCAACCCCACCTTTCAGATAACTGCCTTTAGTAGCAGCCTGAAAAACCATGTGATGGTCATGGACTTGGTGAAGAGAGACTGGCTTCCTTCCCAGAGACGAGCCCAAGTTTGTTTCATCCACATGTGTCCCCGCCTGAAGGTGGCTGAGCAGCAAGGCAGCAGAGACGAGGTACAGCTGGGGCTCGGCAGAGTGGGAGGGCAGGCGCATACCAAGCTCGGAGGTACCAATGGAGGTCTATGTGGGAGACCCACTGGCCATGTGTCTTCTCTGGTCTTGCAAAAACATTGATTTGTTTGTGTCTTAGAAAATACTTTTTAAAAATCTCTAAGTTTATTTCAGTTTTTGCAGTATGTTGGAGGGAATAACATACTGGACGAATGTAATTGATACACAATTGACAACAAAAACCTGCTCAAAGATTCCCGAGGTGGGTAGCTGGCATCCATCCCTGGGAACCGCAATGCGTCCTGTGGTTCCAGTGCTGCTAGTCCTGTGAGTCTGCATTTATCTGTCTCTAGGAAGAAATGCCTAGTTGTCTGCTTCTGTGTTTAGAGGGAGCGTATTCATGACTCATCTTGCTCGAGTCGAGATAGCAAGATTCCAGATTGGTCTTTTATTTTTTAAGCACGGGCTTTAGCTTTCAAGCCCAGACAACTTTTTGGAAACGGGGAGGACTTTGGTGATTGAAAATGTCAGCCTGAGATAAACACATCACCCTGAAAGATATCTGTATCCTACCCTGGGTACCAGCCATAAGCACTTATCTTTTCAGAAAGTAAGCACACATGGAATCTGATCAGCTTTTCATTGTACATGGAATAAATTATGAATGACACTGTAACTGACTCCCAGATAGCTCACTTACTCATCTCTTTGGATGACTGTAACATGCTCGTTGCTAATGCTTTATGGAAAGGTGAGTGTCTGAATATTGATTCTGTATTTGGAAAGATCATTCTGGAGTTCCGGTAAATACTCAAGACCTTTAGTTACCCACACTTGGCTGTAGGGAAGCCAGCCTTACTGGGAGGAACAGGTTTTGCAGGGTTCAAGGCTAGCCTTCTTCCAGTTCCAGCCCTGGGAGAGTGAATTTCCATGCTCACAACAAATAAGTAAAGGCCACAGGAAACAAATGGTGTTAATTAAATTCAGTAGTAGTCCTTATTCATTAATTCATTGCCCAATCAGCCAGAGCAAAAGGTGTACAATTAGAATATAATTGAAAGAAACCAGAGATGTTATTATTCACAAGTAATTAATTGGATGGGAACAGAATTTTATCATTGTATAATTTCCATTGCGGCTCTTTTCCAGTCCCTTAGAGAGGGGAAAACTTGTTGAATTATCTCATCACACATTTTACAATAGCGCTCATGGCTCTGTTTTAAACCCTTCCTAGTGAATACCCTCTCTTGCATTCCATTTTTCATAAATAAGACTTCCTCATTCCTTCCTTATTGTAGGCACACTGAAAGTAATATGGAAAAGGTGTTTTGTAGGAATTTGTGGGGAAACTTCAAATATGCCGATTGCTACAACTACATGTTTCTGTGGCTGAACTGTCTACTGTCTTTAACAGCCAACAGCTTAGCCACATGTGTTAAATGAACCCTGGCCACTCCCCAGATAACAGTCCAACCATTTGGAAGGTTTTCACTAAATATATATATCCATATGTGAGACATGGTACATACAGGGTCTGCTTTCTGGGCTCAAGGGAAGGCCTAATTGGAAAACAAGGAATAGGATCCAGGCCTCCTGACCTTCTGAACTTTAAGCTGTGTTTAAGTTTAGAGCTGATTGAAATGGTTGGAGGTGATGGAGGTGTACACAGAAGGCCCACAAGCCAGGCATCTGTCTGCTGCCTGGGATTGCAGTTTATTCTGTGTATGATCTATTTTTTTCTTATCAGAGTTCATATATTTACTTTCTGAAGAGATAGCCATTTACTGCTGGTACCATTTACCGAATACAGATATCTTTTAGGGATCCTGTGTTTATCTCAGGTTGACATTTTTCGTCTCCAAAGTTCAGTAGTAAACATTTCAGAATTTAAAATAGTCCAAAGCCATTGAGCTATTACAGTTATCCTCACTGGGGCATGTCAGTACTGTTTAGATAGAAGGAAGTAGGGAGAAACAAACCTTGGTGCTCCATATCCCAAGCTGAACATACCCAAGAGACCAATTAACAGCCCAGCCTGCCACTGGACTCAGCCTGGTGACTTCTCCCCCTACATCAGCTCAAAGGCTTCCTGTTAAGCCAGGTTTTGACTGTGAAGAGACTGATGGAGTAGAAAATGAGCAAGGTTGCTGGGATGAACTCTCAGCAATCCACAGGGGTTCTAGATTAAAGAAACAGGTTCATTTTTCAATAAAAATAAGTTTGGAGTTTTCTTGATGTCAAGCTCCTGGGAGAAACCATGAGTCTGCTGACCAAACAATGAGTCTGTAGATGCAGAGTTCTCTTCTTAGTCCTGAGCTGTATTAATGCTTAGAGAAATTGCTGTTCACTTGGGGCAACAGTAATTGGTTAACTCCAGCCCAGGCATGGTCCAAGTTTTCTAGTCCCTTCCTTAAACTGCCTTCAATTTGAACCATGAGAAGAACCTGTGTTGAGAGCTTGCCAGGTCAGGAAACAGAGGAAAGTGAGAATGTTGTAGATCCTGGTGCCTGATGTTTGCAGAGCCTGGATCCCTCTTTACCCCAAATGTACCCCAAACTAATAGGAACATTATGTGCTAAGGAGATTGCTCTCTGAGTAAGTGTTCTATAAGGTTCAGAAGTTAGCCAAGTCATATCTGGACATGGAGGTTCCTGTCTGAAAACTGCTTGCTGTTCACGTTGTGAGCATGCCTTCCTGAGAAGCCCCATGAATAAGGCTCTGATGGCTTCACCAAGCATGGGAAGGGAAGTCATAGAGTTGTATGATGGATATTCATCTCCCAGGGTGAGTGTGTTTAAACATCTCTGTTTCACAGGGTATAGAGAACGACCTTCAATAGCCATACGCTTGGTTTTGAATGAGTTGTTAAGTATACAACAAGTCCAAGTAAAAGAGTGTATAATGATTAGCAGATAGAGAAATAGATATGTAGGTGGCAAAACACCACCAAACTGGGCACTCAGAGCATCCTACTGAAACGGGGAATCCCCTTAAAGCAATCACCTGATGTTCCCTGTAGAGACTGTACTGGGTGAAGCAGAATGACCCATCCAGTGATGCTTCTGAGGAAAAGAACAAATAACAACAGAAAAGTGACATCACCAAATCAAGGTTTATAAACGCCCAGCAGAAACCGCCTAGGGAAGTCCTGATAAGGCCAGCTGCTGGAGTTCCCAGCAGAGCGGGTCCCAAGCAGATCAGGCTGACCCTCAGGTGAGGCTTCCAAGTCAAAGCAAGTGGAGCAGATTAGATAATGTTATAGAATCAAGTGCTCACAACATCCAAAAGAAACTGGCCCGGGAGGCTGAGACAGTCAGCCGGGGGGGGGGGTGGTTCTCCATTGAGCATTCTCTTCATGTTTGGGCACCCAGCTCCTTCCTACATATACTTTAACATCACAAGACAAGCACCAGTAACCCCTGTTGGATATAGTTCATCTTTTCACTCTTCTCAAGGGCACAGTTTTGCTCATGGGCTGTTTTGTACTTCCTAGCACAGATTTGGAGGTGGGTGACTCACCCCCAGACAGAGGGCCTCAGAGGAGTCTTTGAGACAAACATGCTTTGGTCTAAAATGGGCTTGGGAATGCACACTCTGAGCCAGCCCTGGTGATCTCAAACAAAACATGACAATTTGCCATTGTAATATGCATGACAACCTCACAAAAGTTTTTTGAGACCTGTCTGATAATAGGTCCATGCTCTAGCCAAGTCAAGGCTTGGCTATCTGTCTTCTGACAGGTGACAGTCTTAAGCATTCTTTTTAGGAAATGAGCTAGGGGAAGCTGTTATATGTGGAAAAGACTATTTACCCAAGCATTATTATTATTATTATTACTTTACTACTACTACTACTACTACTACTACTACTACTACTACTACTACTACTATTTAGTGGGGAGATTTTTACCAGCAACACTTGGTTCTGGCCACCTAGAAGAATCATAGTGATGTTTGAAAGTTCCTCTATATGTGTGACCACTGTGACTCAGTGGGCCCAGAGCAATATCAAAGCATCAACACCAAACAGCAAGCAAACTAAAACAATTTCTAGGTGGTTCCTTACATCTCCCATTTCTCTCTGTGAGTCATGAATCTATCTTCTCAAATACATGAGGCAAACACTAATGGGGGTTCAAGGCTATTGTTGGTGGCATTTACCGTTCTTTCTGTTACTTCCCCATCTACTTCTACTGATCGATTTGTCTCCTGGTTATGAGTTGTGTTTTCTTTCTTCACATACTAGGCAGTTTTGCAGTTGGATATTAGCTATTGTGACTTTTGCATTGTTGGATGCTTGAGTTTGTTCTATTTCTGTAAACAGTGCTGCCTGGGTCTGGTGGTAGGTTAAGCTGTTTGCCACCAGCTTGGTCCTGATAGGGTTTACCTGTGAGATCTGTGAAAATTCTAGAGGAGGTTCTGATGTAGAAAAATGGTTGTCAAATACCATGACTTTGCTCCATGGTAATGGCTGGATGTTTTGGTGATGGAAGCTTGGAGGAGGATGCCACTGATTCTATTGGATAGGGGGTCATAGATGCTGCTAGCTTCTCTATGTGTAAACATGTGTGTACATGTTTGTGTGCACCTGTGTGTGAATATGTATGGAATCCAGAAGTCAACTTTGGATGATGCCATTCACCTTGCTTTTTCTGAGACAGAGTCTTTCCATCACCTTTACCTGAAAAACCACTGTCTTGGTTAGGCAGGAAAACTCCAGGAAGTTACCTCTCTTAGCATCTTGAATTCTGAGACAATGAGAGCATATCACCACCCCAACTTTTTTAAATATATATTTTCTAGGGATCAAACTTTGGTTCTCATAGCATGCACTTTCCTGACTGAGTTATTTCCCCGAGCCCAAATGGTGTTAACTTTCTCCAATACACAGCACAGCTCCCTTCCCTCTAACAGAGAATGATCCAGCCTAAAATGCCCACAGCATTGAGGGGGAGAAGTACATATCTAGGGCATACTTAGTCCCACTGTTAAGACACAGACTTT